CTGGTTTCTTATTAGTATTGATTATAACTCACCCACTCAAGCATACGCTTCGACAATTACTCCTACCTTCACGTCTGTAAATACTTCCTCTAAGCTGTTGAGGATAGAAAATACGGGTTTTTTGGAAATGGCATCTCGTTTTAACATCTCGATAAATTAATTTCTTAGCTATCCTCCCTCTGCATATCCGCTTTATCGCACATCAGAGTCGTTGGTAATTAGAATTCAGAAAACTTTTAATTGCAGATACCTCTTGAAGAAGGATAGGAAGAAAATGGAGGAGCAAGATAAAGAAAATCGAATAAGTCCCGAAAAGCGCATTAGAAAGAGGTAAAACCTTTGCACATGTAATCGTATAAACCGTTTTAGTGGTTCTCTTGAGCGACATTCTCGCACTTATCTGTATTTTTGTCTTTTTGCCGTATTTCCCAATTGCGCTGTTTCCACTTTTGCTAGGATCCTGTTTATTAGTGTGTGCAGGTAGCTCGCAAAACTTCGTGGTTTTTTGACCCTTTCGCAAAAAGGAGAATGTTTATGACACAATCAACTTTTTCAAACTAGGACGTTTCTGAATACCATTGATTGTAGGAAGACTAGCGACTGGTATTGATAAGCCACAATGTGTAAGATGTGAATTTTTCGAAAAACCAAAGTACTTGGCTTCATTACACCCACGTCCATACTCCCGGCACAGTAAGGGGCATTTCAAACTGGCCTAATTTTGAGTGCGCTTTCCTCTGAATTTGGAGAAGCTGATCGACGTTTATTAGGCTGTGAAGTTGAAGTTCATTTGCTTGGACAAAACCTTTTGTAGGTTTCAATGCTGGACATATATGCGCAGGCAATTTTCTACAATTTTTTCTTTTCTTTAAAAGTTTCCTTTCGTGCAGCGCCACAATAGTACGGTAGCTGCTCTTGCGACGAAGCTAACTACTGTTTTTTTCGAAAATTCCGATCCTATACATAGTGGCTTATCTGTTACCAGTTTGGCTGACGCGCACTACTGCGCGAATGGTTCAGTCTGTGGTACTGATCTATGAAAGGATTTCTGTGTTGACCCCTAACACTTGGCCTAATTCCTATGTTTCACAATTCGGCCCATTTCATGATATTTCCATATTTCTCCTCTTTAATGAGCGATTGCCAATGTGTTTATCAGATTTCTATAAACACTCATCATTCGTTGGCGATAGAACGGCTTAGCGGTTGAAAGGTAACAATATCGAAATCATAGTGAAATGTGCTTACATCATAACACTTCCGTTGAGCAGTTTTCACATATCCGCCTGTTGGTGGCCCTTATCATTCCCCACTGGCGAACAACTTTGAGCTTTTACTTTTTGTCGAAACTCGGAAGTTTAGCGGTCTACTATAACGCTAAAGGATAGAAACACTGAGCTTTTGCCCATTGATTCCAAGGGCCACGGTGATCAACATCAGTCGCAAGCGGAGTAAAGGTGGAACGGATACTGACCCTTGCCGTACACTATATCACAACTTATATCCCACCACCAATGTACCCTAACCACCTCTGAATTGCTTACTGGAAGAAGTTCCCCAGTGTGCTACAATTCACATTTACATTCGTGCATTGAATTGTGTGGCTTCCTAATGTTCCCATCCTGCCCTCCCCCCTCACTTCTTGAAGCTCCTCAAGGTATCTTATCAGCTGTTATCACTGCCTGCCACCCACCAATGATGTCCCATCCTGCCCCCTATCTTACTCCTTGGAACCAACGTCTCGTCGTTGCTGCGGCCCGCGCCATGAATTAGGTAACCCACTCCTTCTAAGGCTCCTTATGGTATCTTATCAGCTGCTATCACTTCCTGCCACCTACCAATAGTGTTCCCATCCTGCCCCTTACTACTTCGGATCCAACGTCCGGTCGTTGCTCTGCCCGGTGTTATGAATTAGGCAACCCACTCCTTCTAAGGCTCCTTATGGTATCTTATCAACTGTTATCACTTCCTGCCACCCACCAACAATGTTCCTGCCCGGCCCCCTACATCACTTATCAATTTGAGCGCACTATCGCTGTTTTGAAGGAAGTTATGAATTTCCGGTCAAACACACATACAGACAGACACACAAACATTCACACACACCACACACAAACACACACATACACGCACACCAACAGACAAACTTAGCGGATTACTTAGGTAGGATTGTTGCTGTAACCATTGTGGCTGGCACATTAGGTGCTTATCGCGTAGTGATATTCTGCGTTGCAACAATTTGGTATTGTTGCAACAGTTTCTTTCCAAACTTTATTGAGATTTTATGCAACTGCCGACTTCCTGATTTCGATGTTATGTGGTTGTACAGTAAAATCTCAGAGAGCTGCACGTTCGTCGAAGTACCTAATGAAAGTCACCCTCCAGTTGTTCATAGCATGGAAGAAGAGGAAATTAGGAGAGAAGAAGCAGAAAGAGGCCCAAAAAAGGCGAAGAAGGACAAGATCAAGGCCGGAAAGGCTGTGAGATTTTGGTTGTTTACTTGATTTTTGGGGTCTTACGATTTTTTTGCTTGTAGTTGGGTATGAGTGGTCGTGACTTGTTCACTTTCAATGCCGATGCTTGTGTTGATGATGAAGACGCCGAAGATGTGGATTTCGAGGAGGAGGTTGGCGTGAGTTGTTGTGATTTCTTTTTATACTTCCTTTGTAATGTCCTTCCAAGATTTAAGGTTCACATATCGGTACCTATTTAGCCCGATGAAAAGTGTTCGAGATTGACAACAGTTTCTTCAAATTCGGAGGTATGGATGACGATTTGGATAACGATGCAGAAACTGGCAAAGTGCTGGATTGCAGCTGGATTTTTCAACTTTATCAGCAGACAAATCAATTTGTGAATTTCTGATGCGTTCCTATGTATTCGCTAATCTTTGAGACCCTGTTCTCACCGAATCTGTTCTCCAGAATGTTAGCTGTATCAATTTTTCGTATAATAAAATATGTGTAAAAGCGTTGAAAGGTATGAATGAACAGACAACCCTACCAGAAGCTACCGGGATTCCTTTCGCATATGCATTTAGCAACCAACGAGCTCTCCGGCAGTAGTATCAAAAGGTAGAAGTACCGCTATACGTTCTGGAGGCTAATTCAGTCCCGTACTTGAAGTCATACGCTCAAGAGCTTATGTTTTTAACGTTGTTAATGTTTTTCAGCAGGACTGTCGAATTGCAAAATGCCCCTACAAAGACAAGCGGCGTTTCTTTTTCTGATCAAATATTCCGGTCCGCAATCTTTTAGATTGTCTCATTTTAAGTTGTATTCAACTGCCTTGTTCACCCTTTACTTCTTTGGGGAGTCTATTACCATCTATATTCTCAGATATATCTATATTCTCTAGTCTTTAAAACCCGGCTTCCTTGAAATCAACAAATCCGAAAATTCAATATCGGAAATTATACCACTTTTTTACATGCTGATGTTTCATGATAATAATTAGAAACAGTTATATCACATTTGGATCACATTGTAATATCGGAATAAATCTTCAAGTACCCTATCCGCGCCTATCCTTCTTTTTTTCATCCTTTCATTAATATCCTTCTTCAAGATGTATCTGCAATTAAAAGTTTTCTGAATTCTAATTACCAACGACTCTGATGTGCGATAAAGCGGATATGCAGAGGGAGGATAGCTAAGAAATTAATTTATCGAGATGTTAAAACGAGATGCCATTTCCAAAAAACCCGTATTTTCTATCCTCAACAGCTTAGAGGAAGTATTTACAGACGTGAAGGTAGGAGTAATTGTCGAAGCGTATGCTTGAGTGGGTGAGTTATAATCAATACTAATAAGAAACCAGAAGACAGCGACATTAGAATAACAAACATTCAGATCTGCGCGAAAAAGAAACTCCGTGAATGTGTTCATAAGTGAAGCTAGTACTTAGGTGATGTGCTTCATAAGTGAGCGGTGGACTTAGGGTGAAAATACTACGCTCCAATCATATCGCCAACTGTATTTCCACTTTGTGCGAACTGAAACCTCGTCCGCGCCCTCCTTTTGGCCTACGCCCATACGGTGAGCTGAGTGCACGCCACCTAATGCGTAAGTATAGTTGTTATGTAATCTAATATTATGGTATACTTGCATTATTCATGTTTCTAGAAGACTTATAATGCTATATAAGTATTGTTATAAGTATTAATAGTCATGTTGCTATAAAGGTGCTATTTAGAGCAAGCGTTCGAAAGTGTTGGTTATTTGTGTATGATTTTTATACGGCTAGCTTTCTTCTGGCACTTATCGTTAAGGTATGCTTTTATTTATAAATACATTATTGTTACATAAATTTTATTAGTATTATGACGTGGAGAATATTTAAATCACACGTCACTTTCGTAACAATAGACAGTAGAAGGGTACTACAATTAGAGTTATTATGATTATTGTTTGCCGTACTGTTTACTTAGACAACAACTTGTTAACCTTATTACTTTAATGGACTGATTTTTGGAAATTGTTCTATACAGTAGAAATGTAAAAGTAAATTATGAATTTCAGGTTTGATAAGTTGCTTTTTCTGTTGTTGCCGAACGTATTGAAGCTGGTTTAAGCTTCTATTACTATACTGAACAGGTTGCAACGTGTTACACGTAAGTACTATGAGTATGTAAAAATTAAGTTAACTTCTGTACATATTTTAGGTTCATAATTGAGAGAAATTTGTATCTTCAAATCTATACTAGCTTAGTTTTGAACCCTTCTTTTCAGGGAGTATCCGTATCATTCCTGTTAGTCCTGGTAATACCGTTTATTATCTATTGCGTGGTTACCCGAAGCTTTGATTGAGGTATGGCTGTATAATATGTTTATGTTTAGTATATACTGTAATCGTATGTAACTTGTTTTTAACAAGAGTTGCTCGCATTAGAATTTCTTTTTATTCAGTTGGTTGGTTTGCTTCCAAGTGACTTTTATTTTTAACCGTAATGGACACTTCTGACCTAGTTTGAAACATGTCGAACGTGAGTATATTCTGCAGTAGGATGAAATTTGCTAGTAAAATTACAACGTATATTTCTATCATTATGTAACACTTTAGATACCAGGTTTTGACGTGGAGAACTGAGTCAATCAAAGAGACTTATTAAGCAACAGGGCAAAAATAAATCGAAGTGTACTGTCCAAACAAATTAGGATACTGTTCCTACCGAATCCCACGAGACTTTCCCCTCTTATCTTGGGGAAAAAATTTTTACCCGAAATAATTAGGTAATGTTACGGATTATTGGGTACGGTACTAGCATTATTGCAACTTTTGTATTCAGATATACTGAGGAAAAGGATTTTAACGCCCTAGGTTGGATAAAAGGGGCTGGGGATCAAGGAAATACCTACTCGATCCGAGCGGGTAATTAATATTATGAGTTGCTGTTGATATGATATCCAATAATAATCGGTTTTAAGGCTGAGATGAGTTCAACTTTTTGGGATTTCTTTATAGAGAAAGGCCGAAGGAATTTATCCGAATATAACCGTAAAAATAATTGTCATATCAAAGTAGTTCGCGATCATACCGTTCATTTGAGTGATATTGAAAACATAAGGTAGTTAGTAGGTAGCTTCTATTTGAACTTTTGAGTTATGTTACTAGTATATAGGATACCTTGGTGTAGTTTGTAATAATTATGCTAATTGCAGTTTATACTTACGTAAATAAATGTAAAAAATGGCTGCTTAACTATAAAGAATTCCCGGATTGAAGGGAAAGTAAGTATAAATGTAGTAATGAAAATTACCATATAATAAACCAAATTTCATTATAATACAATATTTTAGAAATTCAAATCTACCATTTTATCCATTCTATTGGGCTGGTCATATTCTGACTGGTCTGGAACTCCCATTAAGGAATTATTGACGGATCATGAATTGAAAGAATTCAATGTAAGTACAAATATTATGATAGTTAGTAATATCTGAGTTATAAAAAATTAAGGAAGGAAAGTTGATTTGGGGATCTACTACTATTGAAGATATTCTACAAATCAATTAGCGCGTTAACACTGAAGAGAGAGAACAAAGTTTTGAAAAGGTATCTGGCTGATACATGTAATTTACCATTATTGAGATCTATGAGACTGTATTTTCATAATAGGAGAACCGAATGTCTAGGAAGCGAGAATCTTTGGCAGAAGAAGGGAACGCAAACAAGTTATCTAAATCCGGATAATCATTAAAGACTGATAAGAAGAGTAGTTGAGGAGTACTAATAATGTTTTATTATTGTTGTTAATTCGTTTTATTGAGAAGTTATTAATGAACAGTTTTAGAAAAGAGGTGTATATGCACGTAATTAACTTAAATAGATAAGAGTAAAGGTTAATACGTCACTGACGCAGGAAAGGACCACTGGTCCCGAAATTCACCACTGGTGACTTGAGGCAATGCCTCATAACTTAAAAGATTAAACTAAAAACTAAAATGTAAGTTGTCTTCCCGTTACAACGGAACTGATACCTCTCCCAACACGGGTTACCCTCTGTGTTATGGAGAGTATCAGCTCAGTCCAATAAAAGGGAGCAAGCGACAAAAATACATTGTGATGTATAAGAGGAACAAGAAATGGTCCGTTTCGCCTCAGACGAACCATTATATTCCTTCAGTCCTTTGAGGCTCATCAGTGAGTAAGGACTGATGGAATGAAGGAGTAGGTGAAGAGGTGTAAATAGAAAATTGAAGTGAGTTAAGCAATAATGTGGTGAGCGCAAGATTCAGTGAAGGGAGTAATTTAGGTACACGATGTTTCTCTTAC